CTTAGTTGTCCAGAATTATTTTTATAACACTCCATCTCAGTTAAGTTACCTGCACTCGAATTAACGGACCTGGGGAAAAACCATGACGGTGTTTTTTAACACTTTTGTTGTTGATTTTTGTTCCCTTTTCTAGTAAAATAACTTGATGAAGCCTTTTCTAACATCTAGATTATAAAATAAGTAATAAAGCCCGCTATGATTCATCCTAATATCGTTTCGGGTCAAAATCCTCAAAGCTCTAATATCAGTATCCTATCGGAAATTAAAAAGTTGTATGTTGGACATCCCTACTGCAGAGAGTGGTTAAGGTTACACAGATGACTGTAGGGAGCAGCATTCCCTCTACAAATAAAGATGCACGTAGGGGGAGGATGCTCTGCTTTTTGAAAGACTCTCCCTCCCTGCACACAGACTGTTCCAGACTCTCCGCTGAAGCAGACGACCGAGGAGCATCCAGAGCAAGACCAACTGAACTCCATCGGCAGTCTATTCAGCTGCAGCTCTTCTTCTTAAATACCACACTGCTTAAAATGGGACTTGAGTCCAAATCTCATGCCATAAATGTAAAAATGTGAGTTGGTGACAATAAATAAATCCTTGAAGTTGAGAACTGATGGGATGAGTAAAACCGGGCCTAGTGGGGACGGTGAGAAGAGAGTCAGCCCTCCATCTTGTCATGTTATTAAACATTAGGCTCTAATTAATTGTCTCTGAGGTGGGGATTGAGTGCTATCTGTAAAAAAAAAAAAAAAAACAGGGATGCAAGGAGCTATTGAAAGGAGAACATACGTTTTTATGCAGTATTCATTCAGGCTGCATGAGTCAGAGAGAGAGAGTGAGTGACAGAGACTTTGAGCAGATAATAGGAAGGCTGAACAGAAAACATGATGTAGTCTTTTAAAAATTAATGTAATGAACATTATTTACAAAGAGTCGGCTGTTTAGGAAGCCTTAGCTATGCATACCCTGCTAAGCTAAAACAAGAAGCGAGGACCTCTTGAATGTATACTTTACTTTGTACTGCTTTATTGAAATTAATTCTTCTCTTATTAAACCCTGAGATTTCACCTTTTCCTGCACTTATTTTTTTTTAAAGGCTCAGGGCAGAAAAGCTATAAAAACTAAAACAATTAGGGTTTTTTTTCCTTGACATTAACCAACACAGCCTAAAGGGCTGGTTATATTCCCGCAGCAGCGCGTTGCAGTTAGCTCGACGCATACAAGCGTGGTCTGCGCCATGTTTCACGCCACAATGCAAGAGGGACAATCACAAACTAGCTTTGGGTCTAGAAACGGCCAAGGAGGTGAGGAAGTGGGGGTAAGTTTGTGCGACAATGGAGGGTCACGAGGGAGAAAAAGAGCGGGGATCCAGGTGGAAAAAGAGTTCTTGCGCAGGTCATTCTTCTAGCTGGTCCAACTTTTTGACTGGTTGGTCAGTCACACAAACAAAACTAGCTGGTTAGTTACCAAACAGGAAAATTTGCATAATATAGAACGGATGTAGATTTGACCAATCAGAGGCCTCCTTTCTGCGGCCACCTACAATTTGGGAGAGGTGCAGCAGAGTGTCTGTGGAGGGGGCAGGGATGTCTCTGCGTTCACCGCAACACCTACGCAGAAGACCTAATTTCGTAAATTGGCCTTTACTCTGACCTGGCTGAAACTAAAAAGAAAGAACATTTAACTAAGATATATTTTAATCTACATGCGACCAGAAAAGTCCCTTATAGATCTCCGAGGCCCAATAGGATACATACCTGGGTCATTTGTGACAGAACCTTTGCCATTTTTCACGTCCACAACCCAAGTCGCCTGTTTCCCATTAGGGCCGTCCTTTACGTTGAAGGCAAACACGCCGCCGACCTTCTTGACGAGGTTCTCTCCCTCCTGAAAGAAATCCACAGAGTGTTTTAGAGCCATGTGGCACGTCACTCAACCTTCAGCGGGAGCGGACAGACAACAATCAGCTGCTAGTTATCAGACACATCAGACCAACACCCTTTCACAATGAAGAGAACAGCTGTGGAGCTCCATTTGTCAAACAATACCTGACAAGAACAATGCGTCCGCATCGGTTAAGGGAGATTGCAGATTGTGAAACCATCATTCAGAGACATCAGGACCTGTTACACTCCTCTATTTTAATAACAATTAGGCCAGGGATCCAGCCATATTACATTTGTTTAATTATCCTTCATAGCAGCAGCTGCTTCGCTATTATGTAGTGGGAACCAATAAATAGGGACAGATTCTCTATATAATCAGTTCAACTTAGCTCTGTGCGGAAAAAACTAAATATGCTTTACTTTTGGAGTAACTTCAAATTTTCGAGGACTTTTCAAGTTAATATTAGAATTCAACAACTTTTTCAACAGTTCTAGTGAAAGTTTAGGTTTTTATTTCTTAAAAATAAAGTCATGCCTTTTCATAGTATTTATACACCAGTTGTAAAACACCTGCAGTCACAGCTGCATGTCTCTACCAGTTTGGTGCATCTAGTAGGTGAAAAATGACCCCCATCCTTGTTTGAAAAAATATCTCATAGATTTGCCCCATTTTTTTTTTTTTATTAGGCTTAGGTCTGGACTTTAACTGGGCCTTAAAAACACAGTCTGATGTCTAAACTCTTCTATTGTTGCTCTTTGAGCTGCGACTTCAGCCACAACTCTTCTTAGTTTGTTTCGTAGTCTGCTTTCATGCATAGTTTTCCTGAGGCCGGGTCAAAGAGGCATGGACGAATGGTTGTACAAAAGT